AAAGAATATTGTTGATGCAAATGCTTGGAAAAGGAAAAATACTGACGTTCAATTGATTTTCTGTTGTAAAAAAATATCCGTCACACATCAGAACGATCGATGGAGTCATAAATGGGATTACAGGACTCTCATTTCTACTGAAACAAGCAGTTAGAAAGTGCCAGTAGTTTCTTTATGATGATATACATCAGTGTGTCAACAGTCCAGCGGCTTCTTCTTAAATGACACAACGCGTCTAAAATGTCTTCTTTTAATGCATAAATGTGGATTTTGAATGAACTAATGGTCAGGGGTGTGGACTCGAGTCACATGACTTGGACTCGAGTCATTATTTTAATGACTTCTGACTTGACTTGATAAAATCTATAAAGACTTATGACTTGACTCGGACTTGAATCGACTTGCATCTGTTGACTTGATGATGACTTGAGCATATTTGATATTTCAGCACAAAAGTGGCGCAACATGGACAAAAGTCATAAATCATCCTTGGTTTTGGATTTGATTTACTGCTGAATGCAGCAGCACTTTGTTTCTAATCAGTTTCAGTTGCACTTCCTGCTTGTTTGAGCAAATAAATGAAACTTTAATTCTGTAATTTATTTATTATCATTGTCATGAAATTGAAGTAGGGCTGCAGCTATCGAATATTTTTGTAATCGAGTACTCTATCGACTCTTTTATCGATTAATCGAGTACTCTATTGAATCTTTTATCGATTAATCGAGTACTCTAATAAATTACTCTTTGGTTTTTAAACCATTCTATCAAACAGCCTGTTATAAAATATCAAAGACCTCTTGAAATGAGAAAGCAATTGCCAGTTATTCTTCAAGTTTTATTCAAAATTAGTTTTCAAAACTTCAGCACTTCAACTTTACTTCACAGTAAACAAATGCGAGCGGCTGCGGCCCAAACCGCACCAGAACCGCTCACGGCGCATGTGCACACATGGCTCGCCAGCTGTTTCCCTATTAACACACGTTCGTTTTAATTTCTACACTTTTTTTTGTCTCGCACTAACAAGGATTGTCGAAAGCATGTTTGCCGTGGTTATGTCAAATTATACTGATCACACAACATTTAGATCAGTTTATGTTGAACACTGCTGTAAGTAGGACTCCCACACAACATGCACCCAGTAACACCAGCTGTTGATTAATGAAAGACGCGACAATGTTAATAAACATCGCCTCAAATGGTGTTTATGAATTCACTTGTAAAGACCAGCTGATGGAAGCTCAATGCACTGACCCACTTTTTATTCCTGCTGTTAAAAGAACTACGCATCAACTGAAAGGTGAAATATTGAACGCTGTGATTTTAAGAAACAGAATTATGTTTAAAGCAGGGGTGCTAACCTTTTGGGACGAGGGTCAAAGGTTTATGGTTCACGATGCAAAGTGTGAATGTAGCCCCACCTCTGTCAGTTAGTTCCAAAGCCGCTGTAGCTACATTGCAGCTCATCACCGCCAGCGTGTGCTTGTGTGGGTAAATAAGAATGCTCTGATCTAATCACATGATCAGAAATCGGGACCGATAACATGCTTTTTGTAAAATGATAGGAATCGGATGGAAATGGTCTGATTTAATCTTAAGAAACATCAAACTTGCAAAATTTCCACACAGAGATTTTAAATAACAATTGTTTGCTTTTAATTTCAACAACTTTCTCTATATTCTTTGTCTCTTGTGTGAAAGTAACACCATAACATCACACAACTTAAGGTAGACAGGGATTAGCTGTTAGCTAGCAGGCTAATGCAGAACTAGCATGTCGCCTCAGGAAAGAGAAAATGTGTATAGTGTGGATTTATTTTGAACCGGAGAGTAAAGGGGGTGTAACAGACACTTTCATGTGTTCATACTGGGCATTTAACGTGGTGGAAAAGGTAGAGCTACACTATGAATCTGATTTGTTTCTTTCAAAATAAACGTCTTTCTCTCTTAGCTTTTCCCCTCCGGCTTTGGCACCACAGCGAATCACCTGTCTTTATTAGTCCTAGTTCGAATCTCGGCCTAATTTATTCTTCTCCATCTACATCTGGACGGAGACATGCAACGCCATTATGCGTCGACGCAAGAGCCTTCCAACGGGCTCGCAGAGGGTGACGGAGACATGCCTCAATTTTTAACTAGCAGCAGACACAGAACAGATTGAAGAATGCATCGTGGGCAAAGTATGAAAACATGAATGTTTATTCACCTGTGGCTGAAGGAGTACAAAGATAAGCAGCAAGTGTTTTATTCGTGGACGGAAAAGATGAGAAACGTGGGTTTAGAGGTGCCAATCGCATGAAGAGGTGGATGGCGGACAGATTTGTTCGTGTTCAAAAGTCTCTGAAATACATTAAAACTATTTAAACACACCATCGTGGACCACATACGTGACTGTTATGTTGGCAGGATACCTCAGAATGGCGCTATGTCCTCTGTTGTCCTGGCGGGGAATTGTTTTTCAACAATCCCAAGCTGACGAAGTCTGAGAGAAAAACGTCTCTGTCAATGCTTGTGCGTCTGTTCCTCGAGGAGCTGACGGAGACGTACAAAGTAGGCTAATACACCCAAAATTACCTGCGGCAACCCGGACAAAAACACGGAGCCAGCCCGACACTGAAAAATATGCCAATAAACTGAGAGAATTAGCAGACCGATAGCAAAACGTTGAGTTTCAGTCTTCTGGAGCCGTGCTGCCGCGGTTAGTTGCAGGTGTTGTGCAGAGAAAAGTGAGCATGCTGAGCTGCTCCGGCGCCACATTTCCGACCGTTTGCAGGAACTTGCATCAACTCAATACAACCGCATAATGAGGACATAAGCAATTAAAAATATGAGCAACAAGGCTACTTTTAATTTTATTTATAATATTGACACATTTCTTATCAATGTACATCTTGAGTGAGTGTTGCAATGTGGCAGGTAAACTACATACATAAATGAATGGAAGGAACATTTGGATGTGTTCTTTTATCTTGTTATTTTAATGTATTGCTGAAATACTGAATCGGGACTTGGTATTGGCAGACACTCAAAATCAAATGACTGACTCTGATCTCAAGCAAAAACTCAGATCAGAACACCCCTAGAAGGAGAAGAAGAAATTATCTTATATATGGCATCTCTCAAGATAAAAACCACAAGGCGCTTCACAAGAAAAAAATAAAACTGTAGCAAATAATTATTTACAAAAAATTAGGAAAGAAACATTTGGATTAAAGGTCCGGAGCACTGAAATGTCATTTTTTATTATTATTTCTGATTATAATGGGTCACAGAGTTTTTCATGCAGGCTTAACATGAGAATAGTCTCCTACACCTATCTCCTGCATTAGCTTCTGACAGAAGATAGACGGTGAAACTCTAGGATTAGAAAAACCTGACACATCTACCTCACAGTGTCACTTAACGTTTACGGACTCACCCATCTTGACCCACAACGGGGATGGCCGTTGTTTGTTTAGCATCCAGGAAACAACAGAGAACGTCTTGGTTAGTAAATGCTAACTGTTAGCATTAGCGATTACACCACAGAACTCCTTCAGGCTTGTGTTATTTGTGGAGATAAAACATCCACGTAGCAAGTCAGTGGAAGGGTCCCATTCCTGTTATTCAATCCAGGGCCAGATGCCCAAATATCTGGAAATAAAACTCCAAATCCTGGCATGTTAAGCTCTCTTTTGCTGTGGCATCCAGCTAGTTCTTAAGACAAGCGCATCTGAGCTTTTTATCCCCTGAGTACGACTTGGAAGGCATTCGTCGCTACTGGAGACCACTGCAAATGTATGAATGGTATGAGTGTCCCTCACCTTTAAATCAATGTGAAGGAAGATGCAAATAAATAAGAACAGATAATCATGACATCCCAATAAAGACAGTTGGTAGAAGGAGCAGCATGAAGAGAAGAGTCAACCGAAGGTCACACCAAACCCGAAACAGCTCATCAATTAAATTCAATTAAATTCAGTTCAATTCAATTCAGTTCAATTGAGTTCAAAAATACTTTATTAATCCCAGAGGGACATTGATTGCTGTAGTAGCTCAGAATAATAATAATAATCAAGTCATCAAAGAGTTGTTGTACAGTGTATTACAATGGCTGTTGGCAGGAAGGATCTCCCCAGTGAGTCGTGGAGGATGGCTGCTTATACTGAGCCAGGATCCTATGGAGGTTTCTTCCTGTTAAAAGGGAGTTTTCCTCTCCACTGTTGCTAAATGCTTGCTTAGTATGAGGATGCTGGGTTTCTCATATAGGAAACATTTTTTTCCAATTGGCTTAATGAACTGACCTGGATTGGAATGTTTATTATGTGAAGTGCCTTGAGACGTCTCTTGTCGTGATTTGGCGCTTTATAAATAAACTTGAATTGAATTGAATCTCCAGTAGCGGTCAGTGTTGCAGCGAAACTGAGAAAGCCTCTCAACTGGAATCGGCTGCTTTTTAAAGGAGACCACTGAGTCCACTGATCTCAGGCTCAGGGGGAGAGAGGTCCAGAGTCTGGGGGCCACAGCAGCAGATGATCTGTCACCTTTAACCTTTAGCCTGGTGCTGCACAACCAGTAGGCTTTGGTCACTGGACCTCAGGGACCTGCTGGGGGTGTAGGGACTAAGAAGATCACCAATGTAAGATGGTGCTGGTCCATGTAAGGCCCTATAGACCAGAACCAGGATCTGGACATGAACCCTGAAGTTGACTGGCAGCCAGTGAAGCTGGAGGAGAAGCGGGGTGATGTGGGTGTGTTTGGAGGACTTGGTCAGAAGCCGAGCACAGGCGTTCTGAACCACCTGTAGACGATAGTAAATGGCTGTTGTTTTATAAAGTGCCTTGGGGGGTTCTAGGACTCTGAAAGACTCTACATTAATTCAGATCTTTTAACATTCAAATACAACTGATTTTATTATTTAAAATCAAATGCTTAATTAGATTATATTCTCTTCAGCCTTAAAAGTTTGTAAAAGCCTAAATTACTTGAGTAAATTATCATTCTGTCCCCTTCAAATCCAGATGCAGGTTTTGAGCAGTTCCGTGTGGCAGAAAAAGCTCATGGGAACTGGATGAAACTCTACCTAGAAGGAAATGCCTCGGAGGTGCTGATGAACATGGGAAAGAAAGTCCTGAAGCAGTATCTGGAGGCTCTAGCTGCCATGAGCTCTGCTTTGAGCAAACAGCTGGGCAAGTACGATATGTACTCGATGATCGCAGGCATGGTCTTTGTGTTTCAGGTGAGTTCTCTGGGGTTTCACCCATGTTGCTGTCCCATGTGGTTTCATAAAATACGGAATATGAAAATGCTCACAAAGTGCAGATATTTAAATGATCAATATACTGTATTAAGTGACTGATCATTATCGGTGCGAGCTCCTCTCTAAAACCAGGAATTTTGGTAGTCTTTTAGTCTAGAGCATACAGGCGTGTGTTGGCACAATGCCAGCGAGGAAAGATCAGCGGTTGGTGCTGCTCATCAATTAGGGAAGGGTTAATGGTCTTCTCAAAAAAACAAAATTGGAATCCACCATTCCACAGAGAAGTATTGGTTTTTCCAGATGTGGATATCCCAATAAGTTCAGCCCAAGGTCAGACTGTGTAATGCTCCATCTCTGACTCTTCAGTCACCAGTTAGCAGGTTGAAGTTCGAGACAGACCAACTAACAAACATCGCTCTTTTAAACAAACATGGCAGCTTGATTTGAAAGAACCACAAGACCTGTGGATAGATGAGGCCAGAGAGAATGTCTTTACCCATAATGCACAGCTACATGTTAGGAGGAGCAAACAGATGTGTGTTAACGAAATGCCAAGGACAACGACCTTGGAGAAACTATTGATGCTGATGGCAGCCGCCAGCATGGTGGTGGAGGGCGGATGTTTTGGGCTCCTAGCAGTCACCATGAACTCTGCTGTCGACCAAATTTCTTCTAGTCTAACTGATGAAACTTGTTTCTCTTCTCTCCTGGCCTTAAAGCTCCTGTTGGTCTTGGTGCTGGCCATGCCCGAAGCTCTGAGCGGTTCCGCAGCGGTCGACCTTCCTGTCCTGTCGTCCTTGTTCTCCCTGCCTTTCTATCTCCTGTGCCTGCTGCTAGCCTCCGTCCACGTTCTGGTGTGCACATCTGCAGAGAGCTCCTGTTACTTCTGCAGTCTCTCGTGGGGTCTCGTGTTTGCTGCTGTTGCCTTCTCTTCAGCAATGTTCTGTATCCTGATCTCTTTAGCAACACGAAGACTCCCCCTTGCACCAAAGATCCACGGGAAGGTGAGTAAAAAACACATGATGAATTGCAATGAATGTTCATCAGAATTGTACCAGTATGCAAATATGATGAGCTGCACAACACGAACATCGCTTCACTAACACAGGAAGAAAGGACTCAGCTTCCTTTTGAAGGGAATACGTTCCAGTAAACACATTTAATCTTCTGTATGAAATGTTCACTATCCATGAAGAAAAATGCTCTAGGATTTGTTTAGTTACTAGAGAGAACCTACTGCATCAACTTTGGCTCTGGGGGTTTGTGAGCTCTTTTCTGTTCATTCACTTTTTGATGATCTTGGCAAAACGTTTATAAATGTCCTTTTTATCTTCTGCAAAGTGGAGGAAAAATACTTTCCAGCACCTGTAACGGTTGAAAAATCAGCAAAACTTTTGAGTGAATTTCAGACCTCAGGAAGGTTTCTGTTCATTAAATGGAGCTTGGCTTTATTTTCACCTTGTTGTGCTTTTAATCAATGATTGCAAAGAGCCTTTTAATTATTTCTTAATTATTCTACAGTATTGTATAGGAAAGCTATAAAGCAATAAGTAGGGAGCAGTTTACTCGGGGGGTGCTTTATGAAGCTATCACAAGACTGAGCAGGAACTTAAAGTGACAATGTGTAGTTTTGACCATTAATCTCTCGAAATATTCATCAAAATGTTGTTGTAAATGAATTACAAGGTGGCCAGTTGTTGAAGATATTGGTGGTTTCATAACGTATAACCATGAAAATCTCTTCTAAAATACATGGGAGCGGGTCTAAGTCTCTGGGCGACGCCATTTTGGATGCCATGTTTCCTTTTACGGAAGTCTGAGGACAAAATGCATTCACTGATTTGTAAATGATAAATGAGCCGCACTTGTATAGCGCCTCTCAGAGTAAGGACTCCAAAGCGCTTTACACTACAGTGTATCATTCATACATTCACACACATTCACACACTGGTGGGGGTGAGCTACAATGTAGCCACAGCTGCCCTGGGGCGCACTGACAGAGGCGAGGCTGCCGAGTACTGGCGCCACCGGTCCCTCCGACCACCACCAGCAGGCAAGGTGGGTTAAGTGTCTTGCCCAAGGACACAACAGCAGAATTCTCTGTCGGGAGCCGGGATCGAACCTGCAACCTTCCGATTACTGGACAACCCGCTCAACCTGTGGAGCTACTGCTGCCCAAAACTTTACCCATTAATAAACATTGTTGTTTTCACATTTCCCTCTTCACTCGTTGCCAGTGATGAAAGGGAATCTGATGTTCTTGTTATTTTGCCGGAGGTTGCCCTCCCACGAATTTTTGACCCTAATGGCCATCTGTTGATAAGGCCTTATTTGAACACAAAAGTATTGCTTGCATGCAGTGCTGTACTGCCCCCTATCGCCATGGAAAATACACACTGTCACTTTAAATCAGATAAATGCTACATGTCTTTTACTAGAGATGCTGCTGAACTCAACTGGTTTAATAAAAAAAGTTTTGCCCTTGATGGGACAGTCACATGTATTACGTTGAGTCACATTTTTACATAACTCAAGGTGGTACAGCTTCTTAAAGCGACATGAATGTTGCCAACCTACACACATCTTTAGATTTGTTTAATTATCAAATTTATTGACATGGGAAAAATTATCTAGATAAGTGTCAAAAATTTCGATAACGATAAATTTTCGATTTATTGCCCAGCCCTAGCATCAAGCAGAAAAACATCTAAGGAATTCACTGAAAAACATTTTTTTTTTGAAAAGAATCAGTTTAACATGTAGGCTGAACATGAAAATAGTATTATGTCCTCCTGAATTAGCCTCTGAAAGAAAATGGATTGATTGTCGACAAATATCTACAACAGAAAAAGTTGACAATGAATTTCATTGTCGACGTTGTCGCCAGACGTGTTTTTTCCGACCGAGTGAGGCATCTCGCTTCATTACAATCTCTGCCGATAGTCGCACATGCGCAGTAGCTTGTCTGCTGAGCGCCAGCTAACAGAAATGGCGGCGTCCAACACAGTAGCTTCGCGTACCAAAACATCTAAAGTTTGGGAGCATTCCAGCCCGGATTCGGCGAATAAAAAGATGACCTGCATTATTTGCTAAGCAGTCCTCGCGTATCACGGCAGCACGTCGCTGATGCATGAACACTTAAAGAGAAAGCACGTCGGACAGTTGAATGAAACAGTCTGATCACCTCAGTAAGATTTAAATAACACGAAAGCTAATACGTTTTGTTTTGGACGTACGTTGTACTTTTTTTAAACGTATTTTCACTTTTTAAAAAGAGAGATTTAATGTTATGCCCGACTGTGCCTGACAAAAGTATTTCAATTTTATTTATGCATTTATGTCTATACTGACCGGGCACTGTGCCTAATTCGACAGGGCATTTTTATTTACTGTTAGTATGAATCGGCCTGTCAGCAGCAAAGTTCAATTAAATATGCATTTTCCATTGAAGTACCCTTCTTTCTTGTGTTTATCATCATTTTTCACACAATTAAAGCAATCTCGAGCTAAATTTAAGAAAAATTTAATAATTATCTGATTAGTTGATTAATCGTTTCAATAGTCGGTGACTAGTCGACTATTAAAGTAGTCGTTAGTTGCAGCCCTATCACTTTGCATTCATAGACTCATCCATCGTGGCTCACAACGGGGAAGGCTGTTGTTGGTTTAGCGTCCAGGAAACGGCAAAGAACGTCTCGGCGATTAGAAGCTAACCGTTAACATTAGCAACTCCACCACACAGCAGAGCTCCTCCAGGCATGTGTTTTTTTGTGGAGATAAAGCATCAACATTGCAGAGCAACCAGAGTAAGTGGTAGAGTTGTGTTGCTGTTAGCCAGTCAGAGGACAGCTGTCCAAATATCAGGAAATAAGACTTCAAATCCTGTCGTCTTAAGCTACTTTCTCCTCTGGCTGAATTCTACATCCTAAAACAAGAGCATCTGAGCCTTTTGTCCCCAGAAAGTGACTTACCAGGAATTAATTTCTACTAGAGGCCATTGCAAATATACTAAAAAAACGAGTAAACGTGACCTTTAAGAACTGCCCGATGCATTTCAAAATGCTGAAAGGAATGTAGGGAACCACTTTCTTTGAAGCTGAGATGTGGTCAAAAACAAATCCTGAAGGATCACTTAAATGTTTGTTGAGATCGTCAAAAATGCAGAAATTTGACTATCACTTATTTCTGTGAGGCAATCTTTCAGAATTTATATTGACCCAATGTCCCCCCAAGCCTCTGCCAACATCTTGAATGCTAACTCAACTTCCATAGAATTAATGTCACTTTGTAACTAACTGTAGAAGTGTAGGTAGGGGAACGACAAGGAATGACCCTTTCTGTATTGGAGCTAAATGATTGGCAGAGGTGTGACCAAGTCACTGCTTTGCAAGTCACAAGTAAGTCACAAGTCTTTCCAGTCAAGTCTCGAGTCAAGTCCAAGTCAAAGACAACCAAGTCCAAGTCAAGTCCAAAGTCAGTGATGTGGAAGTCCAAGTCAAGTCCAAGTCTTTAACTTTGAATTTTCAAGTCATAATCAAGTCATCTGTCAACTTCAATTTCATGACAATGATAATGAATAAATTCCAGAATTAAAGCCTCTTAAAGCTTCATTTATTTGCTCAAACAAGCTGAAAGTGCAACTGAAACTGATTATAAACAAAGTTCTGCTGCATTCAGCAGTAAATCAAACCCAGAACGAAGAATGATTTATGGTTTTTGTCCATGTTGTACCACTTTTGTGCTGAAATATCAAATATGCTCAAGTCATCATCAAGTCAACAAATGCAAGTCGATTCAAATTGCAAGTCATTGACATTCAAGTCCAAGTCAAGCCGTAAGTCTTTATAGATTTTATCAAGTCAGAAGTCATTAAAATAATGACTCGAGTCCAAGTCATGTGACTCGAGTCCACACCTCTGATGCAAAGATAAACAATGTTTTGGGACCCTTTTTATTTGACATAAACATGGAAAACGTGCACTCTTCCTGGTCATTGTGTGTGGAGAAAAGTGAAAAAATCAAAAGAAACTATGTTGGCAGAGATAACTGGGGAGCCATGTTGATCCATGTGCTTTATAAGCAGTTCTGGTTATTTCGGGTCGCAGCGGTGCTTCAACAATGTGATGCCCTCACGAGCGATGAGAAAAATATCAAACACATTTTCTGATTGGGAGCTGGTCAGTGTTAATGGTATACTACCCGACGCACAACGCAACACTCGCCCCCACGTCAAAGATTCTTGCACAAGAAGAAAATCGGTTTAAAATGAACCAAAAATCGCACAGTGTTGAGTCATGAGTCCAGATTGACTCTGATTCAGAGTGATGGGCGATGAGATCCAGAAGATGATGCGCCCATCATGCCTAGTGCCTACTGTACACGCCTGGAGGACAGTCTGTGATCTGGGTCTCTGCTGTTGGTCAGCAACATTATGTGCCCAAAGAATGAGGTCAGCTGTCTACCTCAATATGCTGAATGGCCAGGCAATTCCATTAATGGGTTTTTCCTCCCCTGATGACACGTCCATTTTTAAAGATGACAGTGCCAGGATTCATTGGGATCAAATAGAGAAGGAGTGGTTTTGGGAGCGTGAGACATGGATTAGACCTCACAGAGTCTCGACCTTAACCCCATTGAGAGTGGATGGGATGTGCTTGACGAGGCTTTTTTTACAGTGGTAGAACTCTCCCATCATCAATACAAGGTCTTGGTGAAAAATTAATGCAGCACTGGAAGAAAAAATCATTGCAGAAATTTGTTAAACCAATACTTTAACAAATGTGTGATGTAATCATTGCAATTCAATGAAAATTGGAGCGTTGGACTTTTTATTGGTTGTAGAGCTGGGCGATATGGACGAAAACTCAAATGTCGATTTTTTTATTTTTGCTGAATTCCGATATACGATATATATCCCGATATTTTTCCTCCTGTAAAATATTTACAAGCTAACTCACTTCAAGCTGTCTTGAGAAATTATAAATATAAATCAGTAGATTAACTG